CCCAAGAGCGACTTTACCCCAATCCTACCTGACAGGTTTGCTTTCTCCGAGGCAACATCAGGGCCACCCAGCAACGACGATCCCCCAATCCTTCCCGACAGGTTTTCTTCCTCCAAGACGTCAGCACCGCCCAAGAGCGACTTTACCCCAATCCTNNGCAACATCAGCGCCACCCAGCAACGATGATTCTCCAATCCTTCCCGACAGGTTTGCTTCCTCCAAGACGTCAGCACTCATACCCCGATCGTTTTTCGTGTTTACTTTATCCCAATCCTGGCTGACCGGCTGGGTTCTTCAACTTAACGGTCGCATCTTTAACAAACGACTGAAACTTTAACCCAATCCTGCCAGGCAGGTCTGGTTATACTTCGAGAAAACGGCAGCGCCGCCCAACATCGACGCATGCCAGTCCCGCCACCCACTGAACTCAACACATCTTCTACGAGAAGACCTGTCAACCCTAGATCATCCTAGATCCGATTCCCTGAACCTGAACTTAACACAGCTTCTAGGAGAAGACCTGTCAACCCTAAACCCCTTTTGGGCCCTCCTTGAAGCCTCCTTGGGCCCTCTGGTTTGTGCCTCGATCTCCCTGCAGGCCCTCGCCGAACTTGGCCTCGCCATGGCCCTGCAAAACGTGGTCCGCCACCTGCGGCAAGAGTCCAACCGGCTTTGATGCTTTGGGGAAGCGTGAGACCGGGTTGAGATGGGTTGAGACGAGACGAGTTGGGCTGGCTTAAGATTGGGTTTAGGGTTTCTTGGGAGTAGTTAGGCTCCATGCTGGGATCCGGAGACTTTTCGGGCAGACTTTTCGGAAAGCTTCCACGACTGCTGTCATCGGCACTGCAAAGCTGCGACTGGCCTGGCCCCCGGCATCCCCAACTACACCAAACCGGCATGGAGTCGGCATGGCAAAGAGAAAAAAACTCGAACTATATGACAATGACAGACAATGTGCGGCAACCTGCACCAAGCGCACAGCAATGCGAGCGCACAACAGTAGCAACGCAAAACATCACGAAAGTGTTTGGGCGTGCATCTACACATGTACATATATAATATACACGCTTTTTACATATGCATCTACATACGTACAGTCGCACATGTGCATGCACATGAACGTGCATGTGCATGCGCATGCACGCATGCATGCAACTGCACCAAGCATGGCGATGCTTGTCAATGCTTAACACCCTACTTCATTACCAAATGCATGTCACAAAACCATGTACAGTACAGTACACACAAACGAAAGCCATCTTCACCGATACGTAAGCCCCGAACTCTGGACAAATCGGTACCAGATGCGGCCTCCCGCGGAGTGCTTCCCTTCAGGTCCTGACAAAAGTGACAAAGTGAGGGGTGACAAAGGCTGCAGATGCTGCAGTAGCATGCTTGGGATGCTGAAACGGGAACATGGATTCGGAGGGAATCGCAGTCAGTAGTTGCAGAATCCACATGACGTCTGGAGAGGACTTTCGGAGCCGTGGAGGCTCCTTTTGCTTGGCATCTGCACCCAGAGCCAGGCACAGGCGGACCATGTCACAGCTGCCCTGGAAAGCTGCCCAATGCAACCTTGGCAAAGCGCAGTCACAGCGAGTGACTGCTTCCCATATGTAAATGCCCACGGACAGTGAAGACAAAAGACTCGCTGAGGGGTTTACTCCAGATCTTCGCAGCTACATGGCTCTTGAGTTTTGACGGCTAGGCTCGCGGGGCGGGGCACTACCCACACATAGCATGACTTGTTGGCTCCCGTCTCCGAGGCACGCCGACCACCCGCTGCGGTCCGCGCAGGCCAGGTCAGCGCGTGCTGCTGCCAAGACCTTCACCACCTCCACCTGCATGGAAGGACCCTATAGAACCATCACATCCAGGATTCGTAGCCGAGCTCTTATAGTTTGCAGCACCAGCAGCAGGAGCACCTGCAAACGCTAACAAGAGCGGCTGTACAGCATGAATATTGGTACTACTGCTCAGAAACTGTGCACCAGCACTGGCTGAAACTTGTGGTGTTCGCAAGAAAGCGGAAGTGCGTTCTGGCACTGACAGGGTTAATCCCGGCATTCCACACACACCTTCCGTGAATCCGCCTGAACTCGTGTGACTTCATCTCGTGTAGCTCCCTGCTATAAGTGTATGGGTTGCTGCTTTCGATAGTTGCACCTCGTTCTTCGGACTACCTGGACGCCGTGGTACCTCAAAGGACTTCACTGCTGGCAAGCAGCATGGCCGGCGACGGTAGCATTGATCAGCGGCGTCCGCTTGAACACGTCAGCCTCATTCACCTTGTCAGAACCAGGCTCCGGTGAAGCTGCCACCCAACGCTACATCCCACAGAAAGAACCACACAGAAGTGCAGCGCTGCAAATCAAGCCGCATCCGCTCCTTCCTGCAGCAGCTCGGTGCAGCGCTGCAGGTCTCCAGCAGAAGCTGCACTGCAGAGCGCAGGCCCGGAAGACATTCTAAGCTTTGGGTTTCGTATCTGGAGTCTGAGGTAGAAGGATACTCTGGATCGTGGTTGTGCTGAGGGACGCGACTCATGGTAGCTTGTGAAACTCCTCAGGGCCACTCAAGGACACAATGCGCAGACCAAAGAAAGCCCACGGGCACTTAGAACACAAAGCCCGACCAACTTGGATTGTTGTAACGCAGCTCCGCGTGACTGGCTCTGTCACTTCGAGAACCTGCATGACACACATTGAGGCACAAAGGCTCCGTCTCTGTACTAAACTAGATCTGAAACAGCCGCGGGTGCTGTCGCTTCGCCCTTTGCAGCAGCTGGGACACCTTCGGCGTCAGCCGTGAGGGTGAAACAGCCCTGTCCTATGCGTTTCGGTAGCGCTGTAACGTCGTAAGCAGCGAAGGTGCCATCGATTCGCGTTGGCAGTGAGACGCGGCGGTCCCAGTGACCAGCGCACTCAAGAATGCAATTGCCGAGGTCTTGCTCCCGCCACTTCAGCACTCCCTTTGCGCCATCCATGGCCCCTCCGCTGACGGTGAAATCGCTGCGGCCTCTGCCAAAGCCTGAGAACTGCCCTCCCGGGCTAAAGCGGAGAACATAGAGGCGATGTTCCTCCTTCTTCCCCTTCTCGTCGGCATCCCATTGCCACACACCTCGCCATCTCGGGGCTAGTGGAAAAGGAGCAGCTCGAAGGACGCTTTCTGCCAAATCCCATCTCTCAGCTTCAAGTTGCCAAATGTCACAAGCTACACCTGAAGGCTCCTTTTGCCAGACGTATCTGAAAGCTTCCGGCAGCTGTTGAAAGAGAGTTGGCATTAGCGTCCGTCGGCGCCAGAAGAAGTAAGCCATCAATCCCATCGCGCTTGCCGCCAGAGCGATCCCCACAATGATGGAAGCAGAGTCGGCTGCCTCCGCTGGCTCCGCTGGCTCCGCTGGCTCGGCTTCTGGTCCGTCGGGAACAGAACCCAGGCCATCCACCCCAAGTAGAAGGGGCAAGTGGCCCGATGGCTCTGCACCCATGTACTCCAGCTGTATCCTCAAAATATCCGAGAATGTGGAGGCGACATTGGCCTCAACACTTGCAAGCAAGTCCCTCAGTTGCCCCAGAAGTTCTTCTTCTCGGGCACCGGGGAACTCCATCGAAAATGACACATTCCACGTGTCAGCAAGGTGCTCTCGACGGGCCGTCGCAGCCACTGCAGCCAGTCTCTCCAGCTGCAGGTAGTCCACTAGCGCCGCAGCAACTGCGAGTTCTGCCTGATGTCGGGACACCCCGGATGCCATCATGATCAGGTATCCTGAAAGGTAGGCAACCGTGCCGACCCCTGTTCTTGTCCTTGTCGCCGTTGCTGTTTGTGTTGTTAGGCTGGTGCTGGTAAGCATTGATGTAGCCGTCCTGGTTGATGTGCCTGGCCGGCTTGGACTTGCGGATGTAGTGCTGGTGGCTGTGGTGGTCGTGGCAATGGTGGTGAGACGCTGCTGTGTAGAGGTTCGGGTGGAGCTCAGCGTGCAGGATGTCGTGCTGGGAATGAAGGTAGCGGTCTGGGACAATGTGGAAGACGATGATAGTGTCAAGCTTATGCTGGTCGAAGTGGTTGCTGTGATGGTTGAAACCGTTGACGTATCCGTGTGTGTGACAGTGGACGTAGACATGAATGTTGAAGAGCTTGACACTGTCGAGCTTCTGGTGGTGGAGCTTTGCGAAATGGAAGTCGACGAAACGGTGCTGGAAACGGTGGAAGTAGTCTTGAACATCTCCACACGGTGACAGTCTGGAATTGCCTCTGCATGGTAGCACGTGATGGTGACGACGGATCGCTCGCAATCAATCGTCACAACCGTCCCCCCCGGCACGCTGGCAGTGGACGTGGTGCACTGCTCAGCATGGACAAGGAAGCAATAGGTCAGTTGGAGAAGCTGCCATCGAAGAGCTCCCTTCCTCCCTCTGCACATGCGCCTTCATGCTTCATCTTTGAGGCAACGACGTCTGCGCGAGCAGGTTAGGACAGGCCCGAACATGGCAAGAGACGCTTCGCCAAGACTGGCAATATCACATCGCACATACGCAAGCACGACATTCCTTCCTTTTCTGCTGCATCTGTCCCCATCCCGATCTGCCGTCCCAGGATTGGAGGTCGCCTGTCCAGGCTTCGTCTTGCTCGGAAGGCACAGGAATGCGCACAACTCGTTCCAACGGAAGGAGCTCTCCAGGATTTTTCGGCTTCGCCCCAGTCGACTCTATCTCGGGCACTCCCAGGGAGTGCTCCAAGGTTTCAACCCACTGGCCGCAGTGGAACCTCGCAAGGTCTTGCTATTCCCCTGAAAACCCCCGACCGGCATGCACCTGCCGCACGAATCATCTTGCATCTGGCGACTAGGAAAAATCTACAGTAGCTTGTCGAAGATGCAAGTACGTTCTGCTCATCGGTCGCATGCTGCGCTCTCTTTGAGAGTGCGCATGCGCACATGCAAGCGGCGCTGTCGGAGTCGCAGTCGCAACTTCCGCAAAGCGCTTGAGAATTCGTGAAGTAGTTCAATTGGTTCTCAGCCATCTCAGGCATTTTTGAGAGCATCCTCGCGCCGGCGAACCCACCTCTGCACATCGTCCCGCTAGGACCCCTGCGACTAACGACTTCTGAGCCCGCGGCTTGGCCAACAAAGCCCCGGCGAGACCAAAACTTGTACCGTGCACCTAAACGACGGGAAGTCATCTAGGTGTCCTGGCTTGCGTGGAGGCTTCTGTTCTTCGGTTGGCCTGCTGGCGCCAGAATACCCGGTTCAGCTCGGTAAACAGCCTCGACGAAGCAGGAAAACAGAGCTTTCCAAGAAGAAGTGCCCAAGAGGCAGCCTGCTTTGTTGGAGGTGCTTCCAGCTGATCCTGCAATCTGCAGATGGCTCAACATGATAAGGAAAGCTTGCAAGCATTGGGTCCTGTTTTGCTCGTCCAACGTACCCAACTCCTTCAGAACGGGAGCAGCCTGGCAACGAAGTCAAGAGCGTGTTGAGCCACGGCGTGCTCTTGAGCCACGTGCCGTCACGTGCCGCCTGTGGGTAGTCTGCCTCCCTCCTCGCCTCACGCAGGGCCTCCACTGGTTGTAGGCGGACAATGAGACTTGTGGAACGACTCCGCCATTGCGCCTCGAGCTTTGCACGCAGCTCCTGCTCGCAGCAAAGCATAGGCCATAAGCCATAAGCCTTGAAAACGGATGTGTCTGGCCCGTTCTCCTCGAGCTTCGCAAGGGCTTCTGTTTCGGCAGCCGTCTTGCGAGGGCGACGACCTACTGAGATACGGCGAGGTGCCATCCCCCCCACACGCGGATACATGAAGGGCCATCTCGGCCCCGTGCATCGAGGACCTTCGGCTGGAGGCTTCTTCACCGTAGGAAGTGCCGGCTGCAACGCAAATCGCGGAAGGGGATCCTTCCTAAATGGCGTGCCAAGTAACGGAGCCTTCGCCTCGGCCTTCGGAGGCTGCGAGCTCTCCGAAGTCTCCGAGCTCTTCGAGCTCTCCGAGGATCTGAGGATCAAAGCAGCCGACTCGCAGCAACACACGGCTAGATTGAGGGATCCCGGGGCGCCGGCTCTGAGCTTGAGCTGGAGCTGGAAGACGAGGGCAATTCCACGGGCCTTCTTGTCACATCAAGCCACATGGCGCGCGCCGCGTGCTCAAAAAGCACTCCCGCTCCAAAAGGGGCCGAGGGGCGGCTTTTTTTTCAAGGGTGTCGCCTTTGCCTTCTTCTTCGTGCCCGGAGCAGCCTCGCTCCGGCTCCTGGCCCACGCCCACGCAAGTCGAAGGCCGACAAATGCCAAGGGCCAGCACGGGGCCTCTTCTGCCAAGAGCTGCACCTTACGAGTAGAGAGAAGACTAAGAGCTCCCCAAAGCAGCGAATGCGAGGAGATGTGGCGAAGCCGCTGGGCCCAGCGCTGGCTCTGGCTTCGCTTGCGTGGGGGCGGCGACAGCAGAGGTTGGGCCTTGGCCTCACGCTTGGCCTTGGCCTTGGCCTTGCGCTTCGTCTTGGGCTTCGGCTCGGCCTTCGCTTTGGCCTTCGCTTCGGCCTTTGCGCCACCACCCGGCTCCGGCCTAGGTCGAAGGGCACCGGCCGCGACGAACGAGAAAAACGGCACACCGCGTGACCGCCTGCTGGCCCCAAGCCAAAAGGCTGCCCAGGAGAAGCCGCCTTTTGCCTTGCTCTTCTTGGCCTCAAGAGCTTGTTGAAAGTGCAAGGCGAGAACTGCTGGCGGTTTAGACGGCTGCGGGCGCATGTCTCGTGCTTACTTTGCTTGCTTGTTGCTCGTTCCCTGTCTCTCTCTCCTGAGGGCCAGACAGGAGCGCGAGGAGTGCAAGGCTTGCAGGAAGGTGCTGGTGGTGATGGAGCTCGGCTTGCTGTTGGTGATGCAGACATCTGCGGACCTTCACTTTGCAGGGTCGTGCCCCCAAAGCCGCCACGGAAAAGAACGAGCATCCGGCTGCATGCTGCCGGCCTGAATCACAGCTTTCGTCTGCGGCATCTGCGGCAACCTTTCTGTGACCCCTGAGCGCGGAACTTCTGTGCAGAACGTCCAGCTGGTGGGAAAGGCTCCCGTGCCAAGTAACCAGAACTCGGCATACTCACGGCATGCGACGACTCACTGACAGATCAAGCTCATCACTCCGTGACGATATGCGAGGTCCAAGCACGATCTGGATGAGCTTTTTCTGAGCCAGGGTGTGAAGCTCTCTTTGCTCAAGGTTTCGAGCAAAAGGTGCAGAGCCTTGTCCACGGCATCGTCATGGAGGACAAACTTCAAGCTGCAGCCTCGAGTCTCCAGCCTGAGCCAACAAACATGAGAAGAGAGCTCTGTCGCATCCCGAATCTGGGGCCGAAGCCACGCGACAAGGTCTGCCTTCTGCAGCTCTGACCAATCCTGTGAAAGAGACGCGGATTGCCGCACACGACGGTCCAGCTCACCTGGCCAGTGCCAGCTGTGCCAGCTGTTGTCATGGATAATTAGCCGAATCACTACAGATCGCCTTCGACTTGATGCAGCAGCTGGGAGATCAGGTCGCCACGCTCGATGCAATCCGCTGGAAACGGGATCGCGTACCTGCCGAGCGCACTTACCCGACTCACGCAATGCGGAACATCGCCGGTCCCTCTCCCTCTGCGGAACACGGCAAAGGACCAAAGCAAACGACCAAAAGCTGGAGCGCCTCCCGGACCTCAGACAGCACTGAGAGGGTCTGAGACTAACTGTGACGGCACCTTGCCCACTGCATTTGCGGAGCATCTGATCACGTAAACTTTTTTGAACCCGTACTGAGGCCGATTGATCACTTAAACTGGAACCGAAAAAAAAAAGACACATTTTCTAAACCCTAAACTTGCTAAAGCCCTTCAAAACACTTGCACCGCATGAAGGAAGCCCTGTAAGGCTGCGGCCAGGCCCTGAGCTCCGGCACAGAGACGACCTTCCCTGCAGACGCCTCCAGCAGCACTTGCCGGAAGGCTGCCAGGGGCTCCCAAAGGCGCCGCACCTGAAAGAGAAGGGCGCACGGTTTTTACGCTCTCACAACTCGGACATGCCAGGGTTTAGGCGTTTTTTGGAGTTTGGGGTTTCAGGGGTCAGGGTTTAGGGCTGGTCGTACCCTGCATCGATGCTGTGGTCCGCTGGCTCCAACGCACAACGGAGGACACGCTGACGTGAACATGTCTCATGGCGACCCTCCGCCGAGTCCTCTGCGCCATCGCCACAGGGGAAGCAGGACAGGACGAATGGCGAGCCCTACTTGGGGTCGGAGACCACTTGCGCTCGCTGTTCGAAACGACGGAAGGGGGGACACCTGATCCTCCACCTCCCGCGGGAGCCTTGCAGCCCCAAGATTAGGGCCCCCTTTTTGGCATGTTTTTGCTCTGGGATGGGCACCAGGCCCGGAGCTCACAAAGACAAGAGCCCGAGCGCGGCGCGGGAGCCGCTTGGGGAGGCTCCGTCCTGGGACGCAGCCGCGCCTGCACTCCGCCACAAGAGAACCCACATGCTTCGTGTGGAAGGAGAGAGGCAGAGAGAGTCTCTGCATGTACTACATATTGTTTATGATGATATATATCTACGAAAATATATATATTGCTGGTGCTCACGAATCTAAGCCATGCAAGCATCCACCAGGCTTTTGCAGTCTTGAGCACTCCGAGCTCCGGCCTCGAGCTGGGCATCGTGCTCCCGGCGGCTCGTGTCAGAGCTGAGGATCTTGAAAGCCTCCAAGACTCCAAGGGGCTCTGCGGCTCAAAACGCCCTTTAATTGCAGTCAAAACCGCGTTGAAGTCTTTGCAATCGCACTCTCTGACACTCCGGCGAGCTTGGGTTAGCAGGAGATAGCAGGAGTCACACCGGTCGCTGTTCGGGGTTATGCTCTCAGAACTCGGACTCCGACAGACGAGGTCTCTGTGTCCAACTACGCCAACTCGACTACTTTCTGAATCAATCACTTTGGGGGTTGAGGGTCAATGCCACCGGCCTCATTCACTCGTCGAAACTGCTCTGCCGCATCTGGGGCATTGCATTTGTCGGGGTGCCACTGCAAAGCCTCGAGAAATTCAGGCAAAAACGGGCGATTGAGAATGTGCTGCCGGAAGCCGCCTTCATGTGGAAGGCACGCCGAATCTGGCTCTCTGTCGCGCTGCCTCGGGCCATGTCGAAATATCTTGCGGTGACCACAAAGCAAGAGGACTACATCCAACAGCCGATTCACAGAGAGAGAGAGAGAGAAAGAGATCATGGGCACGGGCATCGGAGACTCAGAGAGGTTTTTTGGGACGCAGCAAAGGAGCTCCAGGAGCTCTCATAGGCTCAGGAATGCGACTTGTCGAGCCAGGCACCGATCTGGATCCGCGCCCGGTCCATGAGCTGCTGCCTTTGTTGAGTCTCGTTCTGCATCAGCTGATCCAATCGTCCTTGAACTTCCTTGATCTCGTCATGCTTCTCGGCAGCAGCCTTGGACATAGCCTCCAGCTCTGCGAAGAGTGCGTCCTGCTTGATCTGCAGATGGCACACCTCCCAGATTGCGACAGAGAAGCCCTACCACTACAGCAACTTTCTCAGGGAAAGCTCTTGCAGACACACTAAGTCCACTAAACCTATAGAATCATAGAAGACATGCCTGGAGATGGGTGTCGATGACCTCCTTGCACTTCTGCCACATGTCGGAAGACCAAGGCTCCTGGGCGCCGTCCGCTTCCTCGGGGGCCTGCGCGAGGTTGCCACGGAGGATGGCATCGGTCGTGGCCGCGGCGGCAGCCGCTGCGGCCGCAGCCGCAGTGCTTGCCGTGGGCGTCGCCGTGGAGCCGACGTCGGATTGCAGAAAGTCAAAGACGGTCCGCACGAACTCCCGGTACCTCGAAGCGAAGAGCTTGCCTTCCCCCGTCTTTACATCCGAACACGCAAAGAACTCCAGCAGACCTCTCAGGGCTCGCTCGTCTTCGGTGAGGCCCTGCTGGTTCGCTGGGGGCACCACTGGCGCTGCTGCAGGGGCTGCAGGGGCCGCAGGGGCCGCAGGGGGCATCTTTGCTTGTGCGGGCGCCATCGAGGGCATCGAAGGCTTCGGGCCGACGACGATCGGCTGCCGAGGTTGCGGTTGCCGCTCCTGTGGCGCCACAGGAGCCCCCGCCCCCGCTGCCTTCGTTGGAGGCGGTTCCTTGGCCTTGGCTGCTGTTCGCGGGTTCACGGTGTAGGGGCTGGCCGGCCTTGCCAGCTTTGCCGCCAGCTCCTCCAACTCTCGAAAAGGCTCAAGGCCCGAAGCAGTGCACTCCGAGGTGCTTTCCACTCCCTGCTGGTCTTGCTCAGAGAGCCTGGCAACCAGGTCCTGCTTGAAACCATGCGGGCTCAAACCGCGCTCGCTGCACAGCCAGCGCAGCTCCGGTGCACGGAGCGGCCCATAGCTCATGGCCTCAAGAAATCCTCCACATTCTCGCTTTCTCTAGTGCTACCTAGGCATAGCAGAAGGCTTGGAGCCTGCAAAGCCGCCGGATCCATGACTTCAAGCAGGAGCTCGCATCCAAGACACATCACAGCAGCAGCGCAAGCAGAGACTCGGGACGAGGCGTTCGACGCCCAGCTGGTCATAGCAACTCCTCCGAGTTTTCATCGTCCCCAGCGGTGAGAACAAAAATCTAGTTGCTGCCAGAGATCGCGACAGTCCTGAACATTCCGGCTGCAGGAACCTGCAACATCCCATAATGGCACAGGCAGCAGGCACTCCCAGGCAAACTGTCGGTGCTCCTGTGAACGCGGTGAAGCCATGGATGCGGAATTGCACCTGGGCAACACTGGATGTCGCCACGAATGCGAGTCGGTCGGGGGAGCGCGAAAAATCCAGAACATGGCCATGCATCGATGTTGGGGCAAGAGGCCGGATCTGCGCCGCAGCAGGCTGTTTAAAACGTCAGTGCGACATTTGCTGGCAGGCTCGGGTTCGAGACAGTGCAGTCAAAAGGAGCGGCCCAGATCCCAGCATATCTCAGCATTGAGGGGCCGCTGTGGGTTTGGTTGGTTTCTGGTGATACAGAAAAGCGGGACATGGACACTGCAGCCGGTTTCTACAAGCAAGACGGCTCCACCACCCTGATGCCTCTGCTTACACGATGTAGGCTGCGGCATGAGCCATGGAGACTCTTGAGCCAACCCAATTTCAGCACATCATTGCACATCAGCCTATTCAGATGTTCCGGATGCTTTCGGGCTTCATGCAGCATCTTAGCAGACAAGTTCGGTCAGTGGCTGGGAAAGCCGCACGGCCTGGATGTCTCCATCTGCACCTGCACGGCCTGAGAACAGCCACCAAGCATGGAAAACTCTTCTTCATGTCAATGTCGCAACACGGAAAAAGCGAACAATGATTCTGTCCCGATCGGCTGCCGCTAATCTCTGGCGGCGGTCCGGACGTGCGACCAGCTGCGACCAGCTGCCTGCTCAGAGAGAGGTCCTCCTGTTCTGGCATGAACACGGCAAGCCCAGAAGACCTCCGACACGATGCAGTCGTCTCCACTGTGCTGTCCATCGCGCGGGAGACGCCAAGACGCCAAGGCCGAGCATTCACGCTGGCTGGGAACTTTGCCGGAGGGGCTACGAGGCCCGGCCCCAGCGGCGTCTTGGCTTCTCCTCGGCCTCGCCCTCGCCCTCGCCGGGGGCCTGGCTCTCGCCGGGGGCCTGGCTCTCCTCGTGCCCCTCACCCCTCCACCTGCGCACACTCCCCGTCACTCCAAGAGGGGCCGCATACCCAGCCAGGTCTGCTTCGTCCGGCCCCAGCCCGGCCTCGCCCTCCAAAGGATCTGGCGCCAGGTCGAAGCGGAAGGGCTCCAGGAGGATCGCGCGGACGCGCTGGGCGTCGGCGTCATCCCGGAAATAGGAACCAGTGTTGTCCCCCACGCAAGGAAGCCGGCACATGAGCAAGTCACGTTGCCCAGGGTGGCTTTGCCGGCATATCTCCTTCGTGAACTCAACAGCTTCGGGCAGATGAGGAGGTGATTTTTCGGAATTTAAATGCTCCTAAAGTCCTAAAGTATGGGTTGCTCTACAGAAGGGCTTGCAGTCCTCCGCAGGCATCCGCGCCGCAGTCGGGCCGATGTTCTTGCCGCTGCAGTCCAAGACCAGGAGAAGAAAGTTGCAGGTCTTTTGCGACAGCTCGCGGAAGAGCTCCATCAAATCAGCCTCGATCCAGAGCTGCCGGTTCAAGTTCAGCACGACGAAGAGTTTCCGGTCAGCGGACCGCAGCAGGCATCGGAAGCGTTGAACGCAGCGCTCGATGTAAAGGTAGTCAGCGTCATCGTGCAGTGGATTGCGATGGTTGAAGATAGTGCCCCGCCCTACTCCGGCTGTCATTTCAGAATAAGTGTTGTGGCCGATCAGTTTCCGTTCTCGGGGAGCTGATCCCGGCTTGAGGCCGATAGAATCGAAGGAAGTGCCATTGAGATAGTACTGGCGCTTGTCCAGAAAGTCTCGGAAGTCATCCCGCAAGCAATGAGACACCATTGCCGCAGAACTGAAGATCCAGTCGAAGGGGCAGGCATAGCGGCGCGCCCCCATGGCCTTGTACACGGAGGACTGCGAGCAGCGGCAGCCTAGCGAGATCACGTGCTTGAACACCTCGTTCTCAGCCAAAGGCCCCTGCCCTGGCCCGAGCCGTGCCATTTCAGGAAAGGCACATAAAACGAAGACTTAGAGAGCAAGTTTAAAGGTTCCTGGCAAGGGTTTGCTACTGTCGTTGCTTGGGACTCGAGGCAGCCCTTGCTCAAACTCTCTATGGGGTTTTGGGTTGTCTTCAAGTCCGGAGGATGGAAGAACACTGCGGATATAAGCCAAGGCTTCCATGAAGGCCTTCTGCATGCCTCAAACATGCAGTCCGGTTCTGCAGTCTACCTTCCGGCCTCGTCTTGCTTGCCAGGCCTCGCGTCCGGAACTGAACAAAGGAAAAAGCAAGCAAGGTTGCCAGCGCTGGGCCTTTTAACTTCTCTAAGACTCTATCAGCGGAAAAAAGCGCGACGTACGAAAATCTTCTGAAGGGGGCATGCTGGCAAAAGCTACAGCATAGACGGAACCGAGGGCAAGCAACTACACACCTAACTCTGCACCTCAGCTACCCAGGTTCCATCTCAGAAATCCTGTCAATCACCAAGGGTGACCCAGTGATCGACATCGGAAGGTGAAAAGATGTTAAGAGACTCGAAGGTGGTGGAGCCCATGGCCCACACCACCAGCCCAAAAATTGGGCCGCAGTTCGTGTAAACATCGGGCAGGAAGCAAGCGATCTGTCTGAGAGAACCCCCTCCACGACGCAACGCTGCACTAGGTGGGATACCGGGCTGCCAGTGCACGGAGGGTCTCAGTCATGTTTGCTTGCTGTCTGCTGAAGCCAGGATCTCCATCGCAGAGCAACCAAGACGTCCAGAGGGCCACGGCTTTTGGCCTTGAACGTCTACGCTTTTCAAGCATCAACTGGAAGTCTGCGTCAGGCCCTTAACACCTTCAGGTGTCTTTGGCTTCGAAAGGTAACACGGGCAACTTCCTTCTAGTGATCAAGGAAAGGATGCCTCGGCTAGGCAAGAGTATACTAAAGTGACCCGTCATCGGGGGTGCTCCCCTTCTGCGGGCTCAGTCCTTCTGCGCCCTCGGTGCTTCGGGCGTAGGGGTGGAGAAGTGCACATATGATGTAGGGTCCGAGCGACTCTTTCATCACATTCATCGCGTTTAGTTGAAGTTTCGACCTTGAGCCTGAGTTCAGACCAAGCTCGGGTTCGATGTGGACGTTCTTGCTGGGTTGCTCGGGCCCGACATCATGTCAAAGCTGGTTAGACGGTGGTGCTCGTCAAGCAGGACCTCAGCCACACGGCCTTGCCTAGCCTAGCGCAGTTCGATGTCAAGTCCAGTACGTACATACTCCAGGTGCAAGAGGATATCGACATTGACCCTGACCCCGTAAGAAGAACTGCGACTGCAGCAGGCACGGCTTCAAATGAGGGCATAGGCATAGGCCTCGAAGGGTATCAAGACAAGCACTGCTTCGCAGCAACCCACGGATGCCGAGTCGTGAAGTAGTTCTCAAACATTATCAGCTTGAAAACTCTCTCTCGCTCTCTAAAATTCGGCCACGACCGCACGCAGTTCCGCAGAGATCATGTCTTGACACGCAGAAGAAACTTGCACCAACCTCGATACGGTGACCGCGCACAGAGAGGGTCCGGTAAACTCGTTGTGTGAGAACCTAAAGATAGCCCTAGCGCCTCAAACCCCTCAGGAATTGGCAGACGGACCCTCTGGTGAAATTGAGCTTGCCCAGCACTTGTCCCGAACATGACAGCAAGATGCCCTCTTGCCGGTTCCACCACGAGGTCTGCTGCCATGCGTCGAACGCCTTCCGTCAGACACAGGACCAGGAGAAGCCAATACCCACCGACGGGCGACAGCTGAGTCAATCAGCCGGCATCCGTTTCCAAAACATTCTACACAGTCTTGCCCCGGGGGACTTGCCGCAACGAAATCACTGCAGAGCATGCTGCAGAGAGGTGATTGACACCGTACGCTGCTACCGCATTCCCCTGACGTGCCCCGGGGACTTCCTGGCCGGTTAGCAACAGGAATTCCAGATCAAACATGTCAACAATCTGATATAATTTGCCGCTCTCTCGCCTCCACAGATAGTCAGAGTCCTGCCTACGTCCGGCTGCTCGAGATGTTCTATTGCATCGAACTCTCGATTCTTTTGAATGCCTGAGTGGCCAACAGCAGCCGGATGCCGGCGATTATAGTGGCGAGAGGCGCTTGGCCCTATGTACGGGCAGGACAAAATAGATAATCTTGACGCAAAGTCGCGTCCAACAAAAGCCGTGGCCCTGCGAGTCCTGATGTGGCACCATGTTTGTTTAAGCTCTAGGATCTAACGCGAAAACTGTAACCCTGCAGTCACATGAGAGCCGCGGCGGGCTGTTGATGGGCAACCTGCTCAGGGATGCCCTTCGTGGGTTGTTTGTGCAGTCGATTTAGCCCTAAGCCATACATCCTGCATTCTTCAATGAATACATCCATGCAAGCTTCCGTCAGCTATTGCTCTTGCCTGAGGGCTGTCTGTCAGCTGCACATCACAGGCATCACTGCTCGGGATCACACGGCCAGCACATCCCAACCACTTTGCACCGCTCGAATTCGGGGCTAAGGGATGTTTGAGTTGTCAAAGACTGAATGTTAGATTTAAAGGTCACATTGTCAGCGGTGCAGTATCTTCAATGACTGCTTTGATGAAGGCAGATACAGCTCTTGACTTGCAGCCTCCATCCGCCACCCGTCTCCGACGGTGGCATCCTGCAAATGTGGCAAATGGGACGCGCCGCGCCGGCGAAATGTGCACGTGGCATAAGCCGCGTCGTCCTGTGCAACCCCTCTCTCGCATTCAGACCGATTTCCCCAAGACCCGCGAGGCTTCAAGATCATCGGTAAGCTTCTCGATGCATGCCACCATGAGTTCACCAAAGTCGCTGCGATTTGCCTTGGAGACAGAGAGAAGGGCAAGCTGGTGGAAAGGCATGCGGACCAGGACTCGCTCAAGACGTCGCTGTGCGGATTCGGTGGTCGTCTCCTCGCCAGTAGGATGCCTCATGACCTCCTCTGCCACTAAGTCCAGGCTCTCCTTCGCGAGTGGTAGGAAGCCATTCATGTCCGCGTTCGACGTCAAGATCCGATGGAGCATCAGAAGAGCTTCCCGCATTCCCATCGAGTTGAACTTCAGGCGCTGCTGCTTGTCCAGCTTGGCGGGGCGATCTGCATGCGGCATGTGGCAGTAGTTGCATTGCGCTCCCGTCGTGCACTTGCCGCCCACGAAGTAGATGCATGGGCGCTTACAAAGGTCTGGGTGACCCCTGCTCCCACAACTTGCCTCTGCAAGAGAGGCAATCTCAGCAAAAGCCACTTCTCGGTGAGTAGCAACGACTGTCTCTCCTCCACCATCAGCGAGACGGTGCGTTCTGGAAGTACCCAGCGACTGCACGTAGCCTCGAAGAGTTTCCTCTTCGGTCATTGCATCGAAGGCCGTCTCGAGACGCGTCATGGGAGCTGGCTGGCTGGCGCTCCGTCGATGGCAAGATTCCACCAGCATGGGCGCCTCATCGATGAAGGTGCGGCTGTACACGAAGGTCACCTCCGCCATGGCGAGCTTGGACTGAGATGTCCCAGAGCAAGAACTTTGCATCCAAAGGCCTTGAGCCAATTTGCTTCGGAGGGACTAGCGTCTCCGGCTTAGAACGTCAATGTACCTCTGGGTGAAATCCATGGCCTGGATTTCATGAAGCTCACAAACTCGTCTGGATAAACGGCGAAGTAGATCAATCAGCTTCTCAAGCGCGCCGGAAAGCAAGGCAAAAACAACGGCTCACTCTGAGAGTTAAGGCCTTGGAACTCGAAATCGAAAACTGGAAGCTCGGACCCCAACAGTTAGCACTGGCTGGCCTAAGACCTGATCCTGATGTGACCAAGACATAATGCGGCGCACGCTTCTTCTGCATGGCTTTATAGGAAGAATGCAAAAGCAACCAGCAACTCTCAAGCACCGAACCCTCAGCACATCACACGTTGGTGACGGTGCGCCTTCCAGATTCCAGTGCAGTCTTGATGGGAGACCTGCTCCGAAAAGAGCCCGAATCAAACCGCACAACTTCTGCCGGCAGAAACGATGGCACGACTTGCCCGTATTCGACAAAAGGCAATGCTGACATACCTCCGAATCTGCCAGTCGTCTCATGCACTCTGTGACTTGGGCCGAAACACCATCTTCACATGTTCTTCTTGCTCTCTAGCGCGTGCCACAGTTTGCCGCATTCATCGATGCCGCATCTGCGAACCCATTCTATCAGAAAAGTCCCTGAATGTTGGACTGCGTACGAAGCTCTGCTTGCCCCAGGTCCGTAAGCTCCGTTCCATACAACTAGCATTATGGAAAGACCAAGCCGGGATTTTTCAGATTGGCAGGATTTACGCCGTTTTTTGCCTCCTGCATGGCTGAGCGAGTCGCGAAGTTATTTACGCGGTTTAATTCCAAGGCCGTCAAGTTTGGTGTGCAGGGATAATTCAAGCGTAAGCTGCAATTTGTGCTTTTGGGCTGACATAACTGTGCTATACGTACCGAGTATATGTTTTGTTTGCCCGCAATCGGTCTTCCACTCCCAATGCATGGCTGGAGAACTGGCGGGGCCTGTTGTGAAAATGTGCTGACAGTGGCTTCGGGAATGCAGCAGCGTTTTTTGGCGGTGAGGTGTCTTAGAAGTGCTTCGAGATGCCCCGCCAAATCGTGCCTGCAGTGTCTATAGTCGCTCGCTTCTGCATAGCTGGACAGAGTCTTTGCAGATATCATGCCTGTGCTGGATGTCTTTGGGGATGTCATGCGGTGCTGTAGCCTGGACAGACAGCCCATACCATGACGAAATGACCGACAAGACTCACGCCATTTCTTGGGAGAGTAAGGTTTGAAGCCGCTGTAACGATTGAGACAAACAGATTTCCCGTTATTGCATCGGCTGTGGTTACCTCGCAGGAACTACGTGGCCTCACGCATCGCAGCCTGCCTTCCCGTCCTGCAGTCTACGCGCGAGCGCGCGGGCGCGCACCACTCCCAGCCGGCGTTGCCATATTCAAACTTGTCCATTGTATATCATTGCCTGCAAGAGATTTTGCCAGTGATCGAATCACGCAGTGATAGCAACACGAGCGTGCGACATGACACGGGGCAAAGGGACCAAGTATGGGAAGTGCATGTGAGCTTTGGATCAGAACCATAGCCGGTGCCCCAAAAAGGGAACCAGAAGGCTTCAAGAAGGCATGCCACAGCAAGGCGATTCAAGCTGCTGTCGCATGTGAGAATGTAACGGAACTCTGTCTTTTTAAAACACCTTTTTCGAGCACAGTATAGCATAGTCGACTTGAGCACGGTTGATGCAGGTTGACATTGTCTGTAATGTGTTTGCACGACGCCACAGTACGACACACCATGACTGCGATCTGACCCCGTCTAGTGCCAGGTAATGAAACACAGAAGAAAGCCGCATACTGACGTATCAGGCAGGAGGACAAAAGCATAACTAGTTAGTAGAACCCTTGCCCATTTTGGGTAATATTACCCAAAATGGGCAAGGGTTGTGCTAACTTAACTCTGGCAGAAGGTTTTGCAGAATGGCGAAGGATACAGCATACACCGGAGATGTACAAGACCATAGAAAATGGAAACCGCTGCAGTCCGATTTTCACAGCACAATGGTCCGTCGCGGGTGGTAGTGCTGTAGCCCCAGCAAACCTGACCAGAGCTGCTTCGGCTTGGGGTTTGGGGCGACGGGGCCACGGCCATCTGAGCTTCTGGCGCCAGTCGGGGTCGAAATGCTGGCCAACCCCGATTCGGAAGTCCATGGATACCCGCGTGTGCTCAGAGCGATTGGGCGGAACAAAGTGCCGCACCAGCGTCCCATGAAACATAGCCTTGCAAACACCCTACGCTGCAGCGCCAGATCCGTGCATTGCGCAATGAAGGCCCGAGTCACGACATCACCGGGGTGGACTTCAATGGGATGGAAGTCGCCTTCTCCTGGCGAAGACTCGATCCACAGCGTCGTCCTAGCCAGGCTGGCTCAAGGCAGGGCCAACAAAAGGCTGCAAGCAGACAACACAGGACGGTCGAAGTGTCCAGAAGTCCTGGTCAACTTGTAGTCCGTCAGTGGCATCCAGAAGTTAATCTCACCTGCTTGGTGGCCATATCTCTCGTCCGCATGCAGCATTCGAGACCGCCTGGTCAAGTTCAAGCTGTCAAGCTGCTTCTACAAGCCAGAAGCCATAAGCCCCTGAAACCTGAAACTAGAGCTGTTGATCCCGCGCCCACCGCCTACTGCGCCCTGGCTGCAGTCGGACCGTCGGCGGATGCTGGCAGTAGAAAGTCACAGGGCCAGCCTCCTCCAGCCTTTCCCTGCAGGACGAGCAGTCTCAGACACATGCAGGCACAGCCGAAGGCACAGACGACATATATATATATATATATAAGTTCTGGGACTTGCGAATTTCAGATGGGCGAAGACTTCGAGCGGTTGCTCTTTGCAAAACAATCCAGCGTGTAGAACATGGTTCATACCCCGAAATACAGGCTCTTCCGGAAAAGCACAGTCACGTAAACCTGATTTGCGATGTCTGGAAGCAGTGGGACTCACAAGCATGGGGATGTTATGCATAGCGCCCTTGTCAACAGCATAGACTAACACCACATACCCGACACATGATACAGTAGCAACTGTTCAAGGCAGTATGTGACAACTGCGTGGCACATCCCCTCTGCGACAAGCACCTGAATCGCGCTGCTTCAATGGTTGTGCTGCATTTCCTGGTTAATCCTGCTTCCCGTCCTTGGTGATATCAGTTCTAAGTTTTGATGCCTCTACCGTTCTTTCATCGCTGTTGCAGCGACTGCCAGGTCCGCCTTTGGAGTGCTGCAGCTGGATGCGATATTCACTTTGATCCTTTGGCTCTGCTCCTGCTGCTGCTTCTGCTGCTGCTGCTGTTGCTGTTGCTGGGCTGCTGCGAAACAGAAAGAACGGAAACGACGAGAAGCCCTGCTGTGCCTTAAGCGTGGGCAGATGACCTCTTCCAGAAGACGGTCGTAGCAGGCCAGGAAGGACGGGCAGCCCAGGACACATCGTCTCCATGCCTTCTCGTAGGCAAAGGAGCTGAAGGTCCTCTCCTGAAAGACTTTCATCACGGATATCAGAGGTATATAGTATGTCGAGCGTGTATTACATAGAGACGGATGTCACAGCGCACGGCATGCAGGGCATCGCATCGCAATGCATCACGCACATGGCGGGAGGTTTTGGGGAAACCTTGCCTCACCACCAACACTGGCACAATCCGATCGTATGTGGCGTGGCATTGTCCGACCCGGTTTGCACGAAGGCCGGAAAGTTCCCTGCCTCTGCCCGGAAGCGCTCCAAGGCCAGAGAGGAACCGACGAAGCAGCCGAAGCCGACCATGGGCCCAGCCTGACGGAAGTCCAAACTTGGAAGCTCGGACGCTCTGAACCCACAGCCTCTGCCAGAAGTCTTGCCGCCAGTCCTGGACTCTGCATTTCTCTGCCACGGCACGGCACGGACCGCCCAGCCGGCCTCTGAGATCATAGCGGCTGGAATCAAAGCTGAACACCTCCTCCTGGCGCAAGCCTTGGCTGACACCCATACACGATGCATGTCACATTGCAAACATGCTTTCAGAATACCGGAGAGACGCTCCTTTTGCAACGGTCTTCGCCAACGCTCCTGCGCTCCTGCGCTGCAGAGCCTTTGAAACTGGTGCCGCTGCCACCCTCCCAAAATCTGGAACGGCTGAGAATGGCAGCATCGCATTTCGGACTCGACCAGCGCACCTCGCGCGCCGAGGCCAAATTCTCAAAATCCGTCCGGACTCCGAGCGAAGGCTCAGAGCTAGGCTTTGGAGCGCTTCAAAGCCTGAATGGCCAGGTTAGCCGCCTTTTGCCCCGAGAGGAGCATTGCGCCAAACGTTGGCCCCATCCGATTGCATCCTCGTGCCTCGGCAACCTCCATTCCAGCAAAGATCAAGCCAGGAACGACCTCGCTGGTCATCTGCACCACAGCATCCTGCCGAGCACAGAACCCAACCGTCAGAAGCTTCGCAGCAATTGAGGCTTCAACTGTCGGCTCCTCGGCAGTGTTCATATCCAAGGCGCCCATGCCCGGGAGCCCCGAGGGCAATGCACCAAGAGACTCAAGGCGCTTCGCAGAGCTCGCGCCCATGGGGCCGTCGTGGCCGGTGGCCGTCACCACCACCTTCGCCTCCATGACCTCCCATAAAGCACAACCGAAATACACACTCCAAATCGCACTCGGCATCACTCGGCTCGCATGAAAAAACAACCCTTCCTGCGGGTCCATGCAAGACTGCGTGTCGTGGTTTTGCGTGACGAGGGACCAATTGGTGACGACCTAAGCAGAACTTATCGAAAGAGAGCTTCATGAAGCTCCAGCCGGCACTTCAAGCAACTGAGACGCCTTAAATTCAGGTCAGCGACACCCCGGACCGCCACGCTCTCCGGCTCCTGCCTAACGAGCAGGTCCTCCACGGCGACGGCATTGAAGAGCTTCACATTCGGGGCGATCAGGGCCTTGCGGAGGACGGAGGACATGAACAAGGCCGCATGCTTGACAACCACGTAGTCGCCTTGGTCATCGTAGGGGACTTCCAACTCATCCAAGAACTCGTCGGCCGGTTTACGCACCACCATGGAGCTCATCAGTTGCCCTCCCAACCAGCAGCCCCCACCAGGAGCGACATTCTGCTCCAGGATGGCCACCTTGATGTCGGGATGCTTTGTCAGCTCGTAGGCACACGAAAGCCCCGCTGAGCCAGCGCCCACGATGACCACGTCGGTCTCCGCATAATCCAGCATCTCCGACATGTAGCGCCGTGTCATCTCACGGCTGACCGTGCTCTCACGAATCGGTGTGAACTGCATCGAGTCGAACATGGCCAGTTTGTTGCTGACGTAGGCTTCCGGATCCGTGGGAAGGGCTGAAACTAGTGCAGACTTCCAGCGCAGACCACCTGCCACTGTACGGGGTGCAGTGATCAAGCGCCGCATAGCAACTCCAACACGAGGTGCGAACATGTCGAAGCGGAGGCCCAGGTCCCTGCGCAGGTATTACCCTGATCAGGTTCAACGGTCTGTTCTCAGCACAGCCGCACTTGGCAGCCAGCACCCGTCAGGCCTTGATCCTAAATGTGCTGGGCAGTGCCGGGGCATTGACACAGCGAAAGTCCGGCACACGGGCAGAAGGTCAACCTATCACCCGTATCAGACACATGCCTGCTACCAAAGGCAGGAAAGCCAACATTGCAAGCTGAAAGACTTCCAAACTTTTTAAGCCATGCTGCTCTGATTTCGGGTCAGCATTCGTGGAATGGAACGTGGAACCTCTTTGTCGGAGCACCTATGAACTCATCGATAAAGCTCAGAGAAACGCCTCAGTCACCTCCTGTCATCTTCTCAGGAAGCCTTTAGCTTTCCTTTGAGCGGAGATGGTCAAAGGACCTTTGATCCTCCACTTCCAAGGCTGGCCCTGGTAGCTCTTGCTCCCTGTGCTTGTCAGGTTGGAGCCCAGGCCTGGGCCCCAGACGCGCCAGCGAGAGTGCTGCGGCTGCTGCGGCCCGGGGCTTCTCTCACCCTGTGGTCGAGGCTGCGGCTTCACCCATCGCGGTGGCCAGAGAACCGCAGGGCCCGTTGAAGCCGCGGAGGCCGAGGAAGCCGAGGAAGCCGAGGAACGAGTAAGTCGGAGGCAGGTGGCGTAGGCCTCCGCCAGCTCCGCGAAGCTTTCCCGTGACCTGCCAGGGAGGGAGCCCAAACCCTGAACTGCACCCTAAACCCTCACACTATACCACCGTATACCCCAAGGCCCATCTGTTCCTTTTGACTTGTTTTGACCCAGGCAACTTGGTGGTGCCACTCGGACACACGTCCGGGTGAAGACTGCGGGCCAGCTCGTGGTATCTCAGCTTCAACTCCTCTTTCGAGGCCTGGGGTGTCAGTCCCAAGATTTCATGGCAACTGCGCAGCCCCCGAACCACCATGGCTCGCCACATCTTGCTCAACTCAAAATGACAATGGCTTCTACCAGTAGCATCGACTGGAGCCGACAAGTTGTGCTTGCAAACATGCACCGCAGCTTGCGACCCTATGCCGTGGCGGACGACGGCTTCCAACGACTCTCCATTTTGTTTCTCGTTCTCAGCGGCGGAGCTGGAAGCCTCCAAAGGGCAGCGGACGCTACCGAGACCGAATGCTTTTGGAAGCCTTCCGTCGCGGGCAATCTGCACACAAGGCAGCGACTCGAGTCGGGTGGATGCACTTCCTGCGACCAGCTGAAGCCTCCGCCAAGACCGCAATGGCTTTCCATCTGCTCGGGGCCGGGCCAAGCTGTCCGTCCGCCTCTAACTTCAACTTCTGGCCCCGCATCAGCAAGGTCCCACTTGGCACAGAAGGCTCTGCGAGCACTATCCGGGATTTGGACAGCGAGAGCTGTTCGGATTCGGGGGACAGTCTAACGGATGGCCAGCCATTGCCTCCAAACCCGATGATCACACCGGTCAGTTGTACGGATGCTTTGCTATCTGAGAGCCCTGATTCTTGCGCCATCCACCTCTGCGATGCTGCCGGTGTGGAAGCGTTCCCCGCGAGGTGCACTGAAACCGAGCTGCTGACGGAAGCTGGTGTTCGCAAAACTAAGGACCGGAGAATCCATGATGGCCGCATTGCGAGGCTGAACGGATGTCCACTTTAGTTTGACATTGCGTCTCCTTGCGTATGCTCGCCTCAAAAAATGCGGCTTGCTTTCCTGCTCTTGATTTGGTTGCCGCGTTCGCCATGAAACTCCTCGACCCAATTTTTGCAGAGTCCACAAGCAAGCTTTGGTTTGTTTTCCTGGTCATGTTTTGCTGCTACATTCGCCTTGAAACACCACGACCCCATCCTTGCAGAGTCCAAACGTCCGTGCATCCGAGCTACTGCCCGGCAAAGGTCCCTGGACGACCGCCGGCTGCTGAATTGGCCTGCATCAAAAGCACGGGATGGCAGGATTCTGCGATTACGGTCACTGCATTATCGTGCTGCAGGTCCCCATCCTGATCGAGGCAGATGGACCAACTGGAACAGCAGCATCCACCTTCATGGCCTGCCATGTGCATGTACTCAATGTGCAACATTCGACGACTGCATGTTCAAAGCAACAAAACAACCTGGGAATTCACACCACGGGCAGATGCGCGTCACTGATACGTAAGCCGCGTCGCAGGCACAAGTCAATCTAGCTCGCACGGGCCTGGCTCCGGCGGCATGGGCCAGACGCCAAGCGCAGAGCTGGCGATAGCTAACGCGCTCCACTACGCCGCCAAACAACGAAGCCAAGGCGGTGCGCTGCAGTGCGTGCAAGCGGCGTGGGCAAGCCACATACCGGGATGTGGACCAGACTAGGCGTGGAGGAGGTCGCAAGCGGCCGGAGTCAAGGCCGGTCGCGACAATGAGCGTGACGTGCCAGAACGGCATGTCACTGCCAGCCCGAGTTCACCTTCAGCCGCCGGGACTTCCGCAAGGCGGCAGCGGCGTGCCTCGTGGAGCTCCGGGTAAGTGTCGCGGCGCTTGCGCCTGGCTGCAGCGCGAGCTAGGACATGCCACAAAGCGAGGCCGTTGGTTGGCGACGACCGCCGCTCGTCACTGATGGGCGTGTCAAGGTTCGTGTCAGCCGGGCGCACGTTCCGTGCAACCCACACGGCCGACTGCATGCTCGAGTGGGAGGGCTCGCGTTGCCAGCGCACCAGAGGTGGCGCGTGCAGACCGATGGTCGCCGAGCGGCCCAGCTAGCGAAAGCAGCAGCGTGCCGGATGCAGAGGAAAGGTTGGCAAGATGCACCTCGCACATCGCTTGCTCGGACGGCAACCCGCTGCCAACCCTGCAGTGGGTCGGCGGGCTCCTCGCCATGTCCTCGAACAGGGGCTGACAATGACTGCGGCCCAGGTCGGTGCGTTGCAGCCGTCATGGCAAATGCGCGCCCGAGATTTTGTCGCGGCCGCAGCGTGCGGCAGCGGGACATCGCCTCGCAGCGCGCACAACAAACCTTCAGCTGCGGCTGCGGCCCGGCGGCAGATCACGGGGAGTGTATCGCACCAGGAGTCCCCAGTGGGTGGCGTGGCGGTCGGCGGCAGCGGACCGCAGCCCCAGTCCACCGAGTCGGAAGGGCAGCCGAGTGGTCGTGACGCTGGTATAGGCGAGCGGCGTGTCAACACGCTACACAATGCAGCAATGCACCGCGCGATTGCCACATCATGCGCCTGGGCGAATGATACCGTCGGGCGCGAGGGCAGCACTCGGAGGTGTATTCTGTGGTACAGCACGAAGTCCTCACCCAACTCCAAACCCAACCCTCGCTGATTGCATGAAGCCAACCCCGTACTTGGAATGCCGCTGGGGAAGAACCACCCGGAGGCGCCAAATTAGGTTGGCGACTGGTCGTTATCCCGGGCGCCAAAGGATCACAGTCCTGGGTTCCCCACTCGAGCATGATGCTTTAGCATGCAGCTCCAGCACAAACGGGACGAGCCCTGCGCCGCTGCTCCTCGGGAAAACTGAGCGGCGGCTGTCCTCTCGATACCGGTCCGCGGCATTGAAACTCTACGGTGAGACTCTACGCGCTCATGCGCAATGGCAGCCAAACCCGAGCCTGCACCCAGTGATGCCCAGTGGTTTATGGCCGGTACGTGTCCCCAGCACATGCTCGCTACTGGGGAGTAACCCGCTGTGGGCATCACCCGTTCTGTGACACCTTGTCGGTTTCGTGTTGGTCAAGCAGACACGCTGCCACATGCCCTCTTTCATTGCACAGCACACCAACCTTTGCAAGAAAGGTGGTGTTCTCGAGCTCGGTCATCACAGACATTGAGCTTGCCTACGTTGTTTCCGCAGCTGCCAACAGTGCAGCTGCGAGCAAGATGCGCAGCAAGCAGTTTGCGCGCGGGGGGGCGCGGCTTGCAGATCATCAAGTGTAGGGATGCGGTCCAAGAGCCGGTCCTGGTCAGCGCGCTTCCGCTGAGTTAGCGCGCGACGAAGTCGTCGTGCCCAGTGGGGGAAGCCAGCACGTTGTCCCTGGCCGTCGGGACTGGAGGCACCAGTTGCCAACCCAAACTGGCTCATTGCTACCAACGGCAAGGTCAGTGATGTTTGACGGCTTTTCGCCAGCTGCATTCCAAGTTGAGCGGAATGTCAAGGTGCAGGTTGAACAACGGATCAATCAACACACACAGTAGAGTGGTGGCGGGCTCGCTGGGTATGGCGGTCAGCAATGCTCCTGCTTGCGGACCAGCTTGTGATCGGAGGAGGGGCTGGCGGCCGGCGGCAGGGAAGGCAACAAAATGCGTTTGCGAAAGAGTTGGTTGCGAGTGCGCGATGCATAATGTTGCCGGCCATGCGGCCAGTCGCTTTGGGCCAAGCCTTCGTCACTTGGTCGAGGTGGGCGGGCACCCCTGAGGACTTCGTTCCAACAAGGACATTCGCGCCAACCTTCGTTTTGCAAAGTATACGTGCCTCCGCCGTTCCCTTGAGACCGGGTGCGGGATCCCCGCCCATGGCGAGGTGGCACGAACAAGTATCAGCGAAAGCCGGAGTGCGGGCTTGGAGCACGGGCAAAGCGTGAGCCCTAGCGGCCCAGTAGGCAGCTGGCGCTGTCCGCGCAGCAGAGACCAGGCCCTTTTTTTTCTTGCACGCGATCAGTCCAACAAGGCAGTGAGCAATGAAAGAGATTCACTGCACACTGTGTATTTCAGACTCTTCCCCCACGTTCTCTGGCAGCCGGACTGCAAGGATAACCCAGAGGTCCACCACACAACTAAGCAAAAGCAGAATTGGAGGCGACAGGGTGAATCCAAACAGCCGGGAGAACGATCTTGATTGAACTGCCAACCAGGAAATAATTCATTACGGCTTCATCGAAGGGAACAATCAAAAAGGCAAAAGTTGCTCAATACTGACTTGCGATCCCACAAGTCAAGGAGCCGAAGGTCCGAGTCACAGGCTTGAGGCCAGATGGCAAATGAACATAGAACATGATCAAGGGCTAGATTAGG